CATAATCACAAAGACCATGGAACCTTCTTACCATTAGGCTTCTGAATATTTTAGAACATAATTGAATCGGGAGGGGGCTGGAAATACCACCCTTGGCATCAGATTCATCAAATTCTAAGTAGGTTCCCACCAAGATTGCAGTGGGGAGATTGTTGTGTGTGTTGTACTAGGCAGGATTCGTGGAAAACTAGGGTACTAGGTCTGGAGAAATTTTAGCTTCATTTAACTCGTTTCTTTCTCCCCTCTTCCTTTCAGTCCCTCCTCCAATTCCTCCTTTTTTGTTCCTTTCTTGTCTTCAGACGGGGCCTCAGTAGGTTGCTCAGGGTAACTTACAAGTCCTATCACTGCAGGAAAACAAAAACCTACAAACGCTCCACAAATCGTGCTTAAGAGTCATTGTAGACTAAATCATGTGCTGTGAAACATGCAGACTGAAGACCTAAGCCCCAACCCAGTGCCGATCCTAGAACAGAGCCTTGGAGAAGTGACTGGATTTAGGTAGCCGCGGTAGGGTCAGTGGGAAGGCAGTAGACAGCTTGTGTCCCTTCATCCGTGAACAGAGACCGAGGCCGAGGGAGGCCAGAGGAGAGTGGCCTCTGTGAGCCCATCAGGACCGTGCGTGTGTTTACAGGCTCCAGCTGAGAGAAGATACATTTTATCATGACACATAGCCCAGTCTCTGCTTCTTTGTTATGACAGCAGCCATTCTGAGGCTATATCATGAGCTTAGAGATGGCTCTTGCCTGCCTCCTTGCCCATCTGATTCTCAGAAGGGTATGTGAACTCCATGCGAAATACCATTAGTGGGCATGTTCACAAGCAGCCTAGATGTGTTTCATTTGGGTATATGACAGAGACGGGTGGACAACTGGAACTCAGTGAATGGTGATTCAAATGAAGGCAGACAGAGTAGGTGAAGCTCCATCCAAGTCCCGAGACGCCGAATGAACATGGAGCTAACAAGAGCCCGTAGGTGTTTTGTATGAGTTTAAGGCATCGCAAGTCAATGCTGTGGTGTAATTGTGGTAATAGAAAAGTAGGGAGTAGTGAAGTCAGAGAAAATCAATTTAAAGTTAAACAAGGACACCCGTGTGTGGTTTTCTCTGCTTTGGCCACCGTGGAAAGTTTGGGTCAAATTTCTTAACTTTCCCTGTGGATGTTTGGAAATTAAGTATTGATTTGGTGTTTAGCTCTGTTCTTGGATCCTTTCATAGCCATGGCTCCAAATCGCTCTTTATATTTCTCCAAAATCGAGAATCAATGAGATGGAAATTACAATTGTATTTTTAAAAGTTTTTATAGTCCTTAGAAGAAAATAAAATTACTTTATTTTTGGCACTATACTACCTAAACTTCATTATTCTTTATTGGGAATTCAGAGATCACTATTTCTGTTTTTTTTTTTTTTCACTACCATGCAGTTACAGACAAAAACACTGTCAACTTCACATTCAGTTAGTTGGTTATGGCTACATATAGATACTCAGTTTTTTATTTACATAAGGCAATATCAACCAAAAGAGATTAGGACCATTCTCAGAAACACAATGAGGCATTTAGATAGATCTTATTTTAAAATAACACCTAAATGTACACAGCAGGTGACTGCTAGCTCGATCAACAAGAATTATATATGTGAAAGGATGAGTTAAAAGGATAATAAATCCCTACTTAAAAAGGAAAAAAACCCAAAAGCTAATTTTATACTGTACATTAAAAATGCCCCCAACTCTGTTAATAAAGACCACATTGAGTGGTGAAGATGTTTGTCTAACCCTGGTAAAGAAGACAACCCAAAAGTACAAAAAGGGTTTTTCAGTCATTCTTTCAAATCATCAAGTTAGGTTAGGAAGGCCAAAGTCTAGATTAACAATAGCCCTTTGGATTTTCAAAGTGAAAAAAATACTCTCAAGCTCTCAACTTTACGAATGGTGGATTAGACACATCTTAAGCTTCTCACCCATATATAAGGCAAATTGCATCATAGTATACAGTAAATGTACGCCAGGTTAAGAAGCCAGTTGTACTTTGGAAGAAAAATGGTTCTCAAGCACAACAAAAGAACTTCATAGTCTGCCTTAGTGAGGAATGAGGGAATCAAAAAATGTTAAAAAGTTCATTATTCAAAATATCCTGAGTTCCTGCAAATTATCTGATTAAAACTTTAATACTTAAAATTTAAAATAATGTTAAAGACATCATTCTATCATTGCAAACTTTCTGGTTCTGAATCAATGTAATAATGAAGCCACATTATGTCATTAAATAATCCGTAATAAATATGATAATATAAAAAGAGTTGGGAAGCACGATAAGATTTGAAATTTTGATTACTATCTTGCTGCCAGTTTTAAAATGAAATGCTTTGAGAGAATTTGATGAAATGCTTGGTTGTCTTAGTTTTAATCTTCAAACTTTGATTTACATGAGAAGAAATGCCACCCCTTCCACTGAAGATGAACTTGGCACTGTCTTTGCACTTGGAGATAATTTGAACGTCCATAAGACAGCCTCATAGACCAGGCTGGTTCCAAAACAAAGCAGAGGGCCTGGGAGATGGCAGGGAAAGTAAATTCTTAATGTTCATGTGTGATCACCAGAGCTCAGACCTATAGAATTAATGTGAAGCTGGGCTGCAGAAAAAAAATCTCCAATTCTCTGTAATTATTACATTTTAATGTCCACAAACTGTTGCCATCTGAATAAACAGGGAAGCTATTGGGAAAAGCTGAAGCTTGGATTCCATTCATAGGTGAGCAGGAATCATTCCCGACAAGAAAAATCAGGAAGGGCCCACAAAGGATTCTGGTTTGAGTGAATTGGAAATTAAGTCTCATGTGATAATAGATAAACAGTTAATTCAGATGGAGTGTTCTGGTGTAAAACTTTGAGTCAGTGGTCACAAAGGAACAATGTCGTGTGACCCCAATTCCTGTACATGGAAGAAGTGATGGCCTCTCCAGGCTACGGATGGAGCAGAAAATGAGCCAATCAGGTCTCACCCGGGACACACCCAGGTACCGGATGTTTGATGATTGATGGGCCAGTGTCACAGACAGGTTTTCTAAAGGTACTTGTGCTCCCCATCTGTTTTATTTTGTTGTTGTTGTTGTTCTAAAACATAATAGGTGTTTGATTGTGTGAGTTCTTTTTTATTAATTTTTATTTAAATTAAAAGCAATCTTACTTTTACATACAAATCCCAGTTCCCTCTCCCTCTCTCAGCCTCCCATGTGCCTCACCATCTCCCCATCCCACTCCACATCCACACCTCAGAGAGGGTGAGGCCTCTATAATGAGAACCATGACGACCTTACATGCCATCCTAGAGTCTTTATCCAGTGGCTGATGGAAGCAGAAGCAGACACCCACAGCTAAGCACTGAGTCGAACTCCTGGAATCCAGTTGTAGAGAGGGAGGAGTGATGAGCAAAGAGGTTGAGGCCATGCTGGGGAAACCCACAGAATCAGCTGTCCTGAACAAGTGGGAGCTCACAGATGCCGGGCAGACAGATGGGGAAGCAGCATAGGGCCAAACCAGGCCCCCTGAACGTGGGTGTCATTTGGCAGACTTGGGCTGTCTATGGGGACTCTGGCAGTGGAACCAGTATTTATCCCTAGTGGATGAACTGGCTTTTCGGAGCCCATCCCCCATGGATGGATACTGTCTCAGCCTAGATAAGCGGGCGGGGGGGGGGGCACCTAGTTCCTGCCCCAAATGACTTGACAGACTTTGATGATCCTATCTGTTCTTATCCTGCCAAAAGATCGACTATGCCCTCACTTTTCAAGACAGTGGTGCCATCTATAAGTGGAGTTACATTTATCCCACAGCACAGGCGATGGGATATGCCCTCACTTTAAAGCCAGTGGTGTCTATAATAACTGGAATCTCATTGGCCCCACAATGCAGGCAGATAGGATGAGCACGGCAGGCTAGCCCTCAGACCAGTAAAACCAGCTCCAAGTGAACAGACATGTAGGCCCCGTTACCAACAGCAAAGCTTATGAAGAAAGAGGGTACTATCCCAGGGATCCTCATTCTTTGTCCATGTATTCCATTCTAGGAATCTAGGGATCCCCATAGGGTGTGGGGGTAATGTCCTGCTGTCAGGAGGAGTTACTGTGTGCACCCAAGATCAGGTGTAGAGCAGCTTGGCAGATCCGAAGACAGGATCTAGGGAGGTTCCCTCTGGCCTTAGAGAAGCCATCTGGTGTCTCTTGATAATACTCTGCCCAAAAAAAGGGTGGCAGGTTCCTCACTTTGTGAGCCTTTTGTAAAGCACAAGGCAGGAATTTTGGGGGAGCAAAGAGACAATTTGGAATGTCCAACTGTGACTAAATTATTGAGATCAGTTTTTGATTGAATTCACCTCCCTTTCTATTAAGTAGTTGAGATTGGCTTTCTGGGAAGAGACTTGATGAGTTAAAGCTGAGGCGTTTTAAGATTGGGTACGCCAGTAGTATAGGTCTTAGAGGCCTGCACCATCAGGGGTCAGGGGCTATACAGATTTCGTCCCCAGTTTCCATGAAGTAGGCTGCCACATTGGTGACACCTGGCCTGGACCACTGCTCCAGGTTATGGTAGTTCTTACTCCATGTCAATCCTCACAAAATCCTGAGGAGAGAGAGGCTGCTGTAGTCCCTGCCTTCCTAGATAGGGGGGCCTCCCTAACATCCAAATGCCTGTTAGCTTCAAGATGGCTGTAGCCAGTTTCAAATCCAGTCTTCTAGAGCGTTTATTTTTAACTGCCATAAGGTAGGAACACACAGATTTGGGGCAGAGCCTGACGCGAAACTGAAAACTAAAACTGGACACCTGTGGGAGACAATATAAAATGTTATTTAAAAGCATCAGTTTACAACATATACAGTCAGTGGTGTGTGTATGTGTGTGTGTGTGTGGTGTGTGTACATGTTTCTGTGTGTGTGCAGATGTTTGTATGTGAATGTGGAGGCCAGAAGTCAGTTAATGTCACTGTCCATCTTACTTATTTTTAGGGAAAGAGTCATGATACAGCTGCTCAGGCTGCAGCAAGCCCTAGGGGTCATCCTGCTTCCCCCACGCCAGTGCTGGAGTTATGGGAATATTCTGCTCATCCCGGTTTTTATGCATATGTTTGAAAGAGTGTGAAGTTGATCATGGGGTGAGCAATTTACTCGCTGAGCCATTGCCTCAGCCCCTAGTGACATTGAATTCAGAACTATTCTTCCCTTCAACCAACGATACTTCATTGCTATTTGTTTTTTGGTTCTTTTAAGTTAACTTCCCTGAGATAACCATTTGCTATATTGTTTAATCTACTCATATTTTATTTTGTCAAAACTCTGATACTATATAAGCTCAGAGTGAAATAACTTGAAGGTTTTAAAACTGAAATTAATAGAGTCATTTGATTCCTTAAAAATATTTAAAATGAAATGTTCAAGTTCACCTTGGAACATCAGACGTCGTTTCAACTGATTTGGTATATTTTCATCCTTAACTGGAAAACTGATCTCCCTTTTTTTCCTTTCTTTCATTTAAGTCAGAAACAAGTTTGTTTCACATGTCAATCCCAGCTCCCTCTCCCTCCGCTCCTCCCCATCCCTCCCCACAAGGCTCCCCAGCCCCCTACCCAATCTCCACTCTGCTCCCCAGGTAGAATGAGGCCCTCCATGCTGGATCTCCAGAGGCTGTCATGTCATCCAGGGTAGGGTCAAGGCCCTCCTTCAAGAATCCAGGCTGAGAGAGCATCCCTCATTGTGGGATGGGCACTCAAAATCTATTTGTACGCCAGGGGTAAATACTACCTAAGACCCCGTAGATTACCTAGGCCTCTTCACTGACACCCTCATTCAGGGGTTCTGGTTCAGTCCCATGCTTTCCACACAGCCATCAATTTGGGGTCCAAGCGCTCCCCCTTGTTCAGGTCAACAAACTGACCTCTTAATCCTCATATTTTGGGTGTGAATAAATATAATCCACAGAGGCAGGAAAGCCTTGCGAAGTATGCCTTCTTAGCAAGATGACCAGATACTTGGAAAATCAGACACTTAAGGTCAAAGCTTAAGTAAAAAGACATTTAAATCCATTAGCTTGACCATTAAAAGTAAGTGTGAGTATTCAGGACAGAGTGAGAAGGGTGGAAGACTAAAATGAAACAAGAATGCTTCGATAGCCCGGAAAGAACTGAATCCTGTTGGTGAAAATCAAGCCTGCATAGGTTATCTGAGGCTAGCTGGGATCGGGGGCAGCACTCATGACAGTAGAATCCTAATATGCTTTTAGTATACAAAATGTTTACATAAGGAAGGGCCAAGGAAATAGACAACGACCTAAAACGAGAGCTTCCTTTTAAATGCTGGGTTGTAAGATTCTGGGGAAGAACGATAAACAAACATGTTCTGATTTTGAGAGTGCCAACCAATGTGCTACAGTTAGAAATCACCAAAAGCCACGCCTAGACCTAAAACATTGCCAGTGCAGTGTGAGTACTGCTAATTAATGTAAAGTATTCAAAGGAAATATACTGTTCTACTCAATTAGGAGAAGTGTTCTTAAATATTCCTTTGGATTCCTACCGTAATTACACCCTGAAAAGTTGAATAATTTTGCCCAGTAAAGTAGCAAGTAGGAAATCATTTATGAAGTAAGAAAATACGACTAGAGTCTAATTATTCCAAGCAGCAGAAAATAGATTTTTTGAGGCGGTATTTAAGTTCTGGAGTAAAAATAAACATGAATTATTACTAAACTATTATTACTGAACTAATCATGGCATTCTGAGAGCTGAGGTAGGAGGATTTTAAGGAAGAGGGTGACCTGGGACACCGAGCAACTGTGAAGCCACGTTGGGTAATGTGGCATGATCCCATCAGAGAGAGCAGGATGTGGGGCACAGAGACAGAAAGTGAACATCAACTAAAGATGCCCCGTGACACTGAGACCGAATCTCATGCAAATGTTGAATAAATTAGGAGAGTTTTGCTGCACTGGTTGCAAACATTGTGAAAGTATTAACTTTATGGCATCAGGATTTCATGTCTTTCTTCCTTTATTCATGTATACTGTTGCAGTGGTACATGCATGGGACGGTCATTAGACATATTTGTGTTCTGGCACACAAAGATCTTACTGTCATTGACTCTCAGTCAACACAAGATACTTTCAAAGTTGCCATCAGCTTGATTGGTTTCTGTTAGGTTTTAATAATCTAGCTTAAGGAAGAGAAGTCCTACATCTCCTGAGGCCATGTATATTGTTCTGTTTTTAGTTTTTTTTAAGTAATGCTACCAATAATTGACTGACAACTAAATAATTCATGATGGGATTTGCTGTGACATGAGCATGTTGGGCTCTGTCAGTATAAACAATATCTGTTAGGAGTTAGTAGTTACTGCAGAGAGTTCTCAGCTCAATGACTAAACTCAGCTATTGCTGATGTGAGAAGGATAGGGGTGGGGGTGTTTGGGTGGGTGATGAGCCAGGGTAGGGGAGAGTAGGGGCAGAGCAGCTACAGTTTCTTGGGACAAGAGGATGAGGGGCCAGGAGCACAGTACACTTGAAAAGCAGATGCTAAGAGGGGCACATAACTGATGTATGGATGTTCCATGGTTCTTGACTATGAACCTCAGACTCTTTGGGAAACAGGTGTGGATCTAGCCAAGAAGCATAGTTCACCCAAGGAAGTGTCTTGGATCTTATTTTGGTGTATCATCTGAGTCAAGAGAGATCATTCTGAGACTGAATGTTAACTGTAAGCAAATGTGCTTTCAGAAGCCATTGTCTTCATGGGGAAGATGCGATTACAAAGCATCCATGGACTCTCAGAGCCACTACTGCAAATTCACTGAGGAGTCTGGAGATGAAGAGACTGCACCATGGGTCCAGAACTGGTAGCAAATGCCCCAAGTCTCTGACCAGTCATGGCTTTCTCCTCCAGTGCGCTGGCCTTTCATACCTCACATGCTTGCCTTAGACTACATCAGTTCCTTTTCTCTTAGAATCCCTATCACCAATAAATAAACAACTATCCTGAAAAAATAAATGAGATATCAGCCTAATAGCTCTTGTCTGTGGCTCTCATTTGTCAGTCTAAATGAGGGCTACACTCCATCATAAAAGCAGGTTCCAAAATTAATCAATGCAGTGTCTGCCAACTCACATTAGGGAAACCCGCAACAGGCACAGTATCTCTGCAATGCTTTCTTTGAGAGAGAAAGAACAGGAATGCCACCACCCCACTGACTCAATCCAGAGCCTTTGGACTAGCATTGGTCCCTTCATGAGTTCTGTCTATTCATGCCTACTTCCTATCTCTGCACAGGCAAATCAGCTCTTGTTTTCTCTTACAACATTCTGACATTGTCCCTCCGTATCCTTTTATTTTAATATGGAATTATAGAATCATTGGGAATGTGGATTGTGACCACTAGGAGAGATTAAAAAATGAGGGCAGTACTGGTTTGAATTATGGAACTGTCTGCTCTTTATTTAGAGGGAAGTAACCACTGAAATACAAGGCAAATGCAGGAAAGAATTCAAAATCCTTAAAACTTGATATGTTAGACTTTCAGCAAACTCCTACAAAATGCATTAAATTGCTAAGTCTTTTGGCTTAATGACTGGCCCCCATGTATGATTCCTTTTCTATTTGGAAGCTGGAAGTCCATCATCCTGGAAACACTGGGATGTTTGACGCCGGAACAGCAGTATGCTAATTATCTAAGCCTTTCTTTTGCAAGAAGCTCATTAAGAAATCACATGGCTATGCTGAGAATATTTACTGACAAGATTTATAAATTTGATCTAACCAAGCCATAGTTTTAGTAAAATACTGATTTATAAGTAATGACCTAAATGAGATTCCCATTTGCAAAAATCTTTCTAGGTAGGAAAAAAAACACATTACCAATATAACTCTGTGTCAGGACGTTCTCATATCTCATTAGGTTTTGATATGTAAATATAGTTTGCATTCAGAATAATAAACACCTGACATTATAAGACATAATGGCCACAGAATAATCTTGGCTTTACACATTTGTAAACACTGGATGGTGGGTAATAAGACTTGCAAATAAGTTCTTCCCCAAATCCAGAAGACGCAGAAGCCAATTTTGTAAGCTCTTATTAGAAGACGTGTCACGCAAAATGGTTAGACGCATAACGTTAAGATACTTAGCTATTTGCTTTTACATTTGAGTCACTTGCTATTAGGAACTTTAGTGGTGGAACAAGCCTTTTCAGTGATAGGAATCTGAGGAAATGATGCACTGTGGGACCAAGAATAAAATCTGGTCTCTGATACATTCAGGGTTAGGGTTAGGGTTAGGGGTTAGGGTTTAGGGTTAAGGTTAGGGTTAGGGTTAGGGTTTAGGGTTAGGGTTTAGGGTTTAGGGTTTAGGGTTAGGGTTAGGGTTAAGGTTAGGGTTAGGGGTTAGGGGTTAGGGTTAAGGTTAGGGTTAGGGTTAGGGTTTAGGGTTAGGGTTAGGGTTAGGGTTAGGGTTAGGACTGAATATGAGGCAAAACACAATGTTATTTTCACTTGTTTATCATGTCCGCATTCACATACTCACACCACACACACACACACACACACACACACACACACACACACACACAAGGTCTTGTGAGCACAGGGAGATAGCAGCCAATGACAAGATAATAGAAGATCCCTATGGACCATGGTGATTTAATCAGACCTTCAGGAGGACTTCTCTACCTTCCAACTTTCAGGAAGCAAGGTCAGTTGTTTAAGCTTTCAATCTACCCTGCTCGCTTTCCAGCCTCTTAAAACATCCCCACAAAATCTCTATAATTTGTTTGGAGTGAGAGCTGCAGTGTGGAATCTCAGTCTGATGGCTCTGGCAGAGCTCAGCCCTCTTCCCAGATGTAAGAACTCAGCCCTCTCCCCAGATGGAGGAACTAGATCCCAGGGTTACAGAGTTCACCGAAAGCCCCACAGTTGTCTTTTCTAACCGAGCAACCACAGGAGTCTAAGTGTTCAGTGTTCTGGAGGGGCCCCTTGGCGCCACGGAGAGCAAGCTGGGTTAGTTTTCACAGACAGTGAGTTGGTGTCAGCAAAGCTTAGCAGTGTGTGCCGTGAGCAAGCTTGCTTCTTGTGTAACAAAACCATCCAAATTATCATGGAGATGTGGTGTTCGTTTTATTTTATTCCTGTACTCTTTTCTCTTTGGGGGCCCATCACCCAGCTTCCAAATAAATCACACGTGGATGTAGGGGTGAGCCCACAATATTGTCCATGCCCGCTTTTGGGGCATGGACACGGGTACAGACACAGGTAAGGACAAAAGGAAAGGAAGAGCAAAATCTCTGTCTTGGAAGCCTGCCATGCTTCTAATCATCCAGCTTGTGTGTAAGACCTTTCTCTGATAAATAAATATATTAATTTCCATATTGCATTGACCATCCTCATCACAATGGAGGATTATTCTTATTTATTTGTGCCTGGCCTTAGCTTGGTTTGTTTCTACCCAGATTTTCTTAGCTTAAGTTATCCTGTCTACCTTTTGTCTCTGGACTTTTTTCCTTTTCTTAGCTGTTTGCATCTTCCTTTTCCCTCTTACTCCATGGCTGGCCATACGGCCATGTGGCTGTGTGACGGTGTGGCCTGGTGGCTCTCACCTAATGTCCTCTGCTCCTCCTTTTCTTGTTCCCGACACTTTCTTCCCAGATTCCTCCACCTACTTATTCTCTCTGACTGCCAGCCCCACTTAGCGTTTCTCCTGCCTTGCTATATGGCCATTCAGCTCTTAATTAGACCAATCAGGTGTTTCAGACAGGCAAAGTAACACAGCTTCACAGAGTCTAACAGATGCAACGTCAAAGAATGCAGCGCATCTTTGCATCATTAAGTAAATGTTCCATGGTGTAAACAAATGTAGCACATCTTTGGCTAGTATTCTACAGCAGGTAGATGATCATGGAATTATTATAACCACAAAGGCAATGGAGAAAACCTAGACACATAGATGGGTTTCTTAGGGTCATAAAACTAAACAACCTCTTCCGTCAACATGGGAGTGATAGATAATTCCTGCAAGTTCTTGCATAAATTAAGGTGTAAATTAATGTGAGGATTTGCCCTGCCTATTAATTATGGAATAATCCCTTTCTGCATCATCCTTTATGGAAGCTTATGCTTTTTAGTGAAGGAAAATGGTATAAACTGAATTGAGAATACCTATAATCCTCTTGTTTTAACCCTGCCTGGCCTCAGCTACAGGACTCTTTGTGATGAAGTTCTGCTGTTGGCATACTGGTAACGATTATTGAGCAGCTGAAGAGCTCTATGGCATGGTTCTGGGGAACAGACTGGTTTCTTTCTTTTCTTCCTATTCACTCTTGCTTTGTTGGGTGTTTTTGAGATAGGGTCTTCCTGTTTATGCTAGGATGGTCTGGAAATCATTCTGTATTCCAAAAATGGCATCAACTCACGGTCAGCCTCCTGCTTTAGCCTCTCAAACAACAGGATTACAAGTGTAGTTCACCATGTCTTTGTCACAGACATCTTTTTAGTAATATGTGGGTTAGTTTGTAGAAATCATCACCCATTTTGTATTTCAAATTTTTGGTAGAATTTGAAACCTAGTTACAGTTGGTCTTCTAGCCAACCCAAATTTAATTTGTAATTTTACCAATTCCACAAATGAAACTGGCCACAAAATGTGATACTAATCATTTTTATATTTAAGAAATTAGGAGAATCTTCATAACTCATATCCCTGAGGTTAGATATAATTTGGTGTTTCTTATCTCAACCAAATTTAAAATTAATCACTTGGCTAATGAGCTACATACATTTAATAGTCCATAATTTAATCATGTGTCTCAGGGGCAGGGTATTATTTAAATCACTCCAAGTAGACACAGGTAACAACTGAAAAGAATTATGGAAAAGAAAAATGTCTGGAAAGATAAGAGGGCTGTGTCAAAAATTCCCACAGTATTGTTGATGAATACAGATGTAAGACCTGAGGATTTGTAGTTTGAGTTTAGAGTCAAACAGATTCCTATAAAGGAATAAACTTTATTTTTCTGCTGATTTTAAACTAGATATTTTTCTGGAGGACATATGTTACTTTTCATGATTTAGTCAGTTAAGGCCATACTGAAAAGCAAGCAATATGAGTTGTATTGATCAATGATTTCTATTATTACTGAAAGGTGTCTTCTCTGACACATTTATATTAAACACATTCATATCTAAATACTTTCACCTAAAAATCTGTGAATGTATGTACACACTCATGATTAACTATGACACACTTTATTTAGTAGTGTGTACAATGCTCATTAAAAATATCCTGATAATAATAAAGTAGTCTTTTTTAAAGATTTATTTATTTATTTATTTTGAATACAACATCTTGCTTCCATGTCTGTCTGCAAGCCAGAAGAGAACACAAGATCTCATCACAGATGGCTGTGAGCCACCACGTGGTTGCTAGGAATTGAACTCAGAACCTCTGGAAGAGCAGTCAGTGCTCTTAACCTCTGAGCCATCTCTCCAGCCCCTAACGTAGTCTTATTAAGTTTTATGCATTATTATTTTGTACAGTCATCTGAAAAACTGTCTTAATCCAGCTTTGTCTATGTGGCTTATATGTTTTCACCAAATGCAGATAATGTGCACCCCCAGTGAGAAAAGTGCCCTTGATAGATAAGGACAACATTGTGGGTTCACAGAAGCTAAAGAATGTTCCACTCTGGCACCTGGCGTGAGGTATGCGGAGGGTGGGATAAGGGGCAACTGTCACATGGTGGTTACCAAAACAAAGCAAAAAAGATAAAACTGTGTTTGTCCAATCTGGTTCGCATGGCTAATTATTATCCTACTTTTAGAATTTATTTTGAAGGAAACAGAGAGAATCTGTCATTCTATAATTTTTTTCCACTTGGTTTTCAATCTGTACAAACTATACTGACCATCATTAATAGCAAAGGGGACACTGGTGCTCCTGATTTGCTTCTATAATACAGAGCTATTAATCCTAGAGATTTAAATCATGGGCTGTTGATATTTCAGTGGGTTTTCCTC